GAGGTGGTGTCTCTACTGTAGTAGATTGTCCAACCTTCCTTCTGAGGAATGGCTGTTGGATTTGAACCACCAGCCTTCTGGTTAGCAATCAGATGCCTTAAGCACTACGCCACCATAGCTCCTACCTTTTGGTTAGCAGTCAAATGTCTTAACCATTACACCAGCAGACCTCCTTATTCTCTTATTAGGTGGTATTATTAAAATGTCTTTTAATTCCTGAAAGCAAAACCTCTTGGCTTTACATAAAAGGATCTGTTTAATTTGGCTCCACCTTTCCTTTCTTACTTCCCTTTTTCTTCCCCATTCAACCACTTTTTATTCAGGTATTCAATCATCCATTCCACAAATATTGAGCCCTGTTATATTCTAGATCTTAAGGTAGGATATATAATGCTGAGTGAAATGAACAAGATCCTCTGCCCCTTGGAGCTACAGTCTGGGTGGAAGATGGACAACAAACAAATGAAAAATTGTCCTAATAACTATGAATTAAAAGACTAGGATACTAGGATAGAGAATTACTGAGAGTTGTGAAAAGGGAGAGTCAATATGTATAGAGTGGTTGGAGAAAGCCTACTTGAGGACTTATTATTTGATCAGAGACCCAAAGAATGAGAAGGGCTAGCTAGGAAGAGCATGGGTGGGGATGAGTTTGGCTCTGTGACAAGCCATGTGAAGGATCTGGTGGCTAGGCCACAGGAATTAAGAGCATGAGAGGTTGAAGAGATGGGCAGAGGCCAGATCTTTCCAGTTGCAGTTTGTGTTTTTGTCTGCTTCGTATCAAGGACCCCAGCCACACAGGCCTTGCAGCTGCTTATATATGTCCTCATGTCCCTGGGCAAGGCTTTTTGTCCAGAGTGCTTTGGCTCCTGATGAACTCCCGTTGGTTCTTTACGCTTTAGTTCAAATGTCAGCTCTTCTGTGAAGTTCTCTTTTACTCCAAACAGAATTAGCCTTTATGGTTACTATGCCCCTGTTGTTGTTGTTGTTGTTGTTATGTGCCGTGGAGTCGGCCCCAACTCATAAGCGACCCCTCCTTGGGTTTCTGAGGCAGTATCACTACGGAAGTAGATTGCCCCATCTTCCTTCCAAGAGGTAGCTGGTGGGTTTGAACCTCCAGCCTTCTGATTAGCAGTCAAGTGCCTTAGGCACTATGCTACACTATGCCCCCACAGCAATTTATATGCAACCTTGATTATAGTACTTAGTCATCTTTTACTATACTATATATTTAAGTTTATATTCCTTACTAAACTGTGAGCTCCTGGTGGGCAAGGACCTTTTCATATTTATCTTAATGTTCACAGTGCCTAGAAAAATAGCTGTTAGCCAGTAGTGGTAAAATTTGGTGGGTGGATTAATTTAATTCTATTTAAAGATCTGCTAACTATTATTTTAATTTTATGAAGAAAAATACAATGGATGGATGTTGTTCCCTAAAGAGAGATTACCTACGAAGTTTATTTTTTGGCCGTTTCAGCTCTTAGCAGTGTTTAAACTTTACAAGTGCTTAAGCTTCTCCATTGGTGTAATAATTTAAATGTCTCATGTCTGAAATAGTAACAACTCTTTAGAGATTAGGCAGCAGGGTACCCACTCTGGCTGTGTTGACTATGCATTGTACTACTTCGGGGCTGATCATCAGTAGGAATCGGTCTCCTGGAATCATGTGATGCCACAGTACTGTAATTGGAAGAGCTACGTTCTGTCAGTGGAGACCATATCGAATAATAATATGCTTATCTAATTTAGTACATAGACTCAGAGTTCTAGAGCTAAAAGGAAACTTAGAAAGTATTAATTCTTACTTTTACTCTTCTTCCCTACTCATCTTAACATTTTATATAGAGGTTAAATGTCATGCATAAGACAATCTAGGCAATAATTGGTATGTCCAAAGCTAGCAAACAGATTTTCTGCCATTCACTCAAGAACTCCATGTATAAAGAATCGAAGTGAAAGAAACAAATGGGCTTATGTGTTAACTTCTCTGCAGATATTAACCAATACAAATGTAATGACAGTGCTAATAATGCTTTATGTGTGACCAACATAAATTGCTCACATGACAGAGATCATTTTGAATTTAGAGAAGCAAAACCTGTTACCTGTAAAATGGTTCTAGAACTGGAAAATTCTACCAAGGCACCATTTTGGATGGTATAACAAGATGCTAGAGCATAATCTTCTTTTTTTTAAAGTTTTGTGCATCTTTTTTTTTTTTTGGGTGATAAATGTAGATGTAACAAAACATTTGCCATTTCAGCATTCTTCACATGCACAGCTCAGTGACATTGTGTTCTTCATTTTTGAATAGCTGTTCATTGAAAGCTTCTATGTTCCTTTCACTTTTTTACTACCTGATATATAGGATAGAAATGGACTTTTGACTTTGTTGTGAGGAGGGCTAAGACTCAGCCTCTAAAAATTGGGGACATTCTAACCAAAAAAGCTTTGCTTCAGGTGACTCTATGTCAAAGTAAAGGCTACATAGCCTGGCAGTAGAACATGTATTAGTGTGGAGAACTGTATATTTCTAGTTCTGAACTATAGTTTTCACCACCAAATAAGAGAGATCTCCAAGACTCACTCCTCATGCACTATTCTGTGACATCCCTCCCGCGATTTTTTATCTTTCATATATGTGAATGAAGGTGCTCTGGTGATACTGTGCTCAAAGCACCAGGCGGCTAACCAAAAGGTCATCTATTTGAGCCCACCAACTGCTCCATGGAAGAAAGATGAGGCAATCTGCTTCCATAAAGATGTATAGCCTTGGAAACCCTCCGGGGGCCGTTCTACTCTGTCCTGTAGGTTGCTATGGGTAGGAATCGACTCAGTGGCAGTGGGTTTGGTTTGTTTTGGTTATATGAATGAGGAGGTACCCATACATACACATACATGTAGCTTAAACATTTTATGAAGTGAAACTACTGGAACATTTCACAGATAGTTACTAAATGCTTGCTCTGTTGTTACGGTATCAATATATTGTGGCAAACAATGGACGTGAGCTTACAGCAGTCACAAAACCTGTACTCTAGAGGTGAAATTATTCAAAGCTTCTCATATCCCTGGTGGTAAAAAATAATATTTTTGACATATGTGTAGATGATACCAATGTGATACCCCTGTTTCACAAAGTTATCCACTGTCAGAATCCATTTACCATACTGTATAAACCTAGGGTACGGATCATTTGCTATTTGTATTGTGTCCTATCTTTCTAAAAACTTTCAAACTATTCAGTCACAATTTCCTGTCCATCTTTGTGAAGCTTGGATGGTTTGTAAAACAAACCATTGATTGTGGTTTGTTTTAGTATTTATCTCATGTCTGTCAATTTTCCCAGGTGCCCATGGTTTTTTCCTTATTTGGCACTGTCACTCCCCTCTTCCCCCTCCTTCTCTGTTTATTCTACAACACCCAAGTTCTACCTTTTTCACTGAGTGCTGTTGTGCTTCTCCACAGGAGCCCATGTCACTATCCCTTCTAACTTTCTAGCATAATCTGCCATCTCATCCATTGTGAACTGGGCTTTTCTTTTAATGTGTATATAGAAGATTTCACCAAAGGTGTGGGAAGATAAAGTGAGTCACATCACAGAAACACAAAATGTAAATTAGAAATAGACTTTTAAAAGTAACATTTGCTTTTTTCAAATATGCTCTAATATTTTGGAGAAAATATAAACATAATTTATCTTATGAAGATTTGTTCCTGGAAGAATTATTGTTAAGTTCTTACTGACCATGTTGTATTTTAAATACTCAAAGGGGAATGTGGTAATTTTGAAGATATTCAGTATTTGGATATTAATACTTAAAGTTGATACTGTTGAATTAGATTTATGGGCTATCCAATTCAATTTTTTGATCCCAAAAGCTTTGGACACAAAGACTAAGAGATGTTTTATTATGAGACAGCTGACTGGTGTTGATGGCAACATAAAGAGACTAGAGTGAGACCTCAAAACATTTAGGTTTCTCTCAACTCATTATGTAGCAGTGATCCATCTAATTTTTGTTACATGCTTTACCTTAATCTAATTTATGTATTATTACATCACAAAATTTTTGCTAGAAGCATGTTTATCCTACTTACATTTTTGTGTGTATTTGCTGTAGTGTAATATTTCTTTCTGTGCCTAGTAGGTGAAATCACCATGAAAAGTACTTTTTTGATACTTCTCTGACTGAAACCATTAGATAGGTTTCAAGAAGCAGAAGTACTAAGGAAAATGTTTCTTTATTATCAAATAATATTTTAGCAAGGTTCTAGTATATCTTCTTGAGCTCAAGTACAGTTTTCTCCTAGAGAATAAATGAACTTAACTTTATACTTCTACTTTACAAAAACACAGTACATATTAAATGTATAATTTCTTTTAAAAAGGATGTTAAGTTGTTTTTTTTTTTGTCAGCCATTGTACTGTCCTTTATTGGAAAATTATAAACTTAAAAAAAAAAAGTCCTAGTTAAACTTTTATCTGTGGTTTGGATAAAGAAACCTTCTTAATGCTATGTTACTTTTAATTGTAAATTGATAAAATCTTGTGTGGAATCAGCTTTATAAAATGCATCAAAAAGTATTAACACTGGTAACTTAGTATTAATTGAAATGAGAAGGTATTCTCATTAAGTTATTAAACTAAAAAGCAGTTTATTTAGATCTATTGGTAGTAAGAATTTATTTTATTAAACTTCATATGTATTTCTCTGTGTATATATGCATAGAAAGAAATCGGGAAGGATTTTTTTAAAAAGGCTAATTGGTTAAATCTCACCTCCCATTCTGAAAGTTATTCAGATGAGTTTCACAATTTTATTCCATTTGTTCTGTACGTTTTTTGTTTAAAAGCAAACTTGAATACAGGAATAAGTCAACCTACATCTAGAGAGTCTGGGTATTTATAAATAAATGTATTATATTCAGCCATTATTTTGGGCTAGATTGCTTTGGAACGTGCTTTTACAACATACTATTAAAGCTAAACTCTTTTCTACCTGACCTTTTTAGAAGAGCCATGTGGTGCTTTGCTGGTTAAGCTGGCTGGAGTAGAACTCACTGAATCTGGGAAGGTATGGTTACAGAAAGAGCTAAAACCTTCCCAACTACTATGGTTCCAACTTCTTGGAAGGGAGAATTCAGTACTCTTTTGCTACCTATTAGTGAATAAGGTAAGTAGTATGAAGAAATAGCTAGCAATATTTTATTTTTATATTTAAGCATTTATTGAAACTTTGAATACATAATGAGACCTTATGAATCTTTTTTCTCTTTATACTATTTCTAATAGTGATTATGTACAGAGAAGCAACTATGTTTTAAGTTTTCATATTTAAATTTTATAACATTTTGCTGTATATGTAATATAGAAAAAAGTAGAAAATTAAGAAAAAGGAAAAAACCCTTCAAATTGTTAATGATTCTGGAAATGTTAGTTTAAGGAGTATCTTTATACACTTATTTATGCATGGATATATTATGTCATGCTTGTCATTAGAAACTACTGTTAAGTGAGGTTTGTCACCTGGAAACAGCAAAGAGCAAGGGAGGTTTTTATAAGGTAAATATTGCTTAGGCTGTCTAGTACCTTGTAGGTAGGTTTGTGTTGATGCAGGCAGGTCTTTGAACTCTAGCAATTGAGCATACTTGAATGCTGTTTAGGACCAACACTCAATCGTCTGGAGACGTTGCCTCAGGGCCATTTTACCTTTTTGATTGGTCATAGCCGTTATGTAATGGAATGACACCAAGTGTCATTGGTGTAGCCCTATCATGGTCCTGAGTCCTTAGATGTGCCTCCTTGCAAATTTCTTTTAGTGATACATTCTTAATCACCTCAATGATATGTAACTATTAAAATGATAATTGTGAAAAAAGTTTGTGACTTAATATAAGTTAAAAACAAAAAAACAGGATACATTGCATCTAATTTCTAACTGTATAAAAACATGCTAATGAGTGATTACTGAAAAGGAATATTAGAAGATAAAATGGTTGAAATATTGATACAGGATTAAGAGTAGAATCAAAATGTGTATGAATTGTTGAATGGAAAACCAATTTACTATGCAGACTTTGACTCAAATCACAATTAAAAAGGAAAAAGGGGGAAAAAAAAGAATCGAGAGTAGTTTGTAACTTGACAGCAATGTGTTTTGGCTTTTTAATTTTAAAAATCCATTATTATATAACAAACAATAAAAGTAACCTGAAGAAAACAATTGTTGTTGTTAGATGTGACAGAGTAGAACTTCCCGTAGGGTCTTGACTGCAATCTTTAAGGTAGCAGATCACCAGGTCTTTCTCCCACATAGCTGCTGGGTGGTTTCTACCTGGTAACCTTTCAGTTAGCAACTGAGCACATAACTGTTTGCACCACCAGGACTCCTTGAAGGAAAAAATTTGTTAAAAAGAGTAACATCTGGTGTAGTGAAGAAAACAACAAGTCTGTTTAAAATTAAGAAAGTTTATTATGGTGAAAGAGTATTTTACAAAATAGGGGAACAGAGTCAGGAACCTTTTGACAAAGTGCTCCAAGGAGTCAGAGTTATAGAGGTTAATAAAGGCTAAAACTCTAAGTAAGGGGCTACAGCTGGAATATTTTTGATTAGTTAGCATTTACAAAGTTGTAGGTGCTAAGGTCGTGGTTGACCACTTCTGCAGAAGTTGACTTTTTTGCAAGGATGTCTCTGTCAGGATTTTGGCTGACTATACGTTTCCTGGAACAATTACAATATATAGAGGGTGCTATAAAGGGACATTTTCTTTTTTAAAATTTTACTGTGATTTGGGTGAAAGTTTACAGAACAAATTCATTTTTCTTATAGCAGTTCATATACATTTTGTTTCATGACATTGACTGCAATTTCCACAATGTAATAGCTGTCTTCCTACTTCCTTCTTGTACTTACCTTGTCCCTGTGCCCTTCTTTCCTATGCATTCCTGTCCCCTGAGCTATCTGCCTGTGTAAATACTGCCCTTCTGATCTCCCATGATTGACTGTTCTAAAGAGTGTATCTATCTGGTGTAAATTTTCACCATATATACCTGTCTAGGAGCTCTGGTAGCATAGTGCCTAAGGCACTTGACTGCTAACCAGAAGGCTGGCGCTTCAAATCCACCAGCCACTCCTCAGAAGGAAGGTTGGGCAATCTACTTCTGTAGTGATACTGCCTCGGAAACCCAAGGAGGGGTTGCTATGAGTTGGGTCCCACTCAAGGGCACATAACAACAACAATAACATTGTTTGGCTGGAAGCCACGGGAGTGAGTTCAATTTCATGCCTGAAGGGTAACTAGGGGCCATAGTCTCAGGGGACTCACCAGGCTCTATCAGACCAGTAAACCTGGTCTTTTTTATGATTTTGAGTTTTGTTCTACATTGTTCTCCCACTCTACCCGGGATCTCCTACACTGATCCCTTTCAGAGTGTTTGACAGTGGTAGCTGGGCACTATCTAGTTCTTCTGGTCTCATGGTCATATAGGCTGCTTTGCATGGTCCCCTAGTCTCTTGGAAAATTGTTTCCGTGTAACCTTGGTTTTCTTATTTCTTCTTTGCTTTGAATGAGAGAATATTGGTTGCGTCTAGATGGTAGGGATATTTTCTGAGTATTAGCTGCCACCAAAATCACATGTTTACTGGCACATTAGATCATGTAGACACATGTAGCACAGTTTCTGAGGTTAGCAAAGCTGCAACAGTTTCTAAGAAATGGTCAAGGGAACTATCATGGAGTTAGACCTATATTACACTGGTGGACTCTGTTAAAATATAAAAACAAAGAGTTTGTTGAAAGAATAAAATGATCCCAAGTCAAAATGTTAAGTATTCTTAGAGTTAAGAGGAGAAAAGGAGGTATGATACAGAAAAACTATAAGCATGTCTTTATTTGACATTAGTTTATTCTAACTGTAAGTGCCTCTCTCTGAAGCTTAACTATACACATCTTGTTCTCTTTAACACTTATGTGAGAGCAAAATGAGTAAAACCACATCTTTCTGTAGAATTGCTTATTTCTAGATCAAAGGGGCAGTGAAAATTTGTACTGAGGTTCCAGGCTGTACTATATGACAGAGGCTGTCTTAAAAAGACACAAAATAGAGTTTCCTAGGACAAGAAGAAGTTTGGTCTAGACCTTAGCTAGAAGTGTTAGTCATGTCAAGAGTCTTCGTTTTAAAATATTCTTCCTTAGATCACAGCCATTTTAATTTTAAAAAAGACTGAGTTAATAAAAGCCTAATGAAATCTATTAATTTTTGTACATCCAGATCATATTCAGTTCTTTCAAAATAGGAATTATCCAAAACTTACTGCTTGAAGCATCCTATGTTTAAAAGTAACTTAATAGTACAAGGTCATGTAAAGCATCTCATAGACCTTACAAAAATATTAGCTTCTCTTTTAGGCTGAGGAGTATAATAACTCAAAAACAGAAATGAGTTTGATGACAATGAAAATAGTAATAATTTAATTGAGGTGTTGCCATGTACCAGACACTGAAGTAGGCACTATGCATGTATTATTTCATTTATCCTCAGAACAACCCTATGAGATAGTTGTTTTTATTCCCATTTATATGTGGGACTCCCAGGGAATGTCAGTGCCTTGAATGGTCAGGGTGCAAGAGCCTGTGCAAGAGCCTATATTCAAGCCCTGGTCTTCCTGGCTCTGGGTCCCACACATCACCCTTACATATCTTTACATTACATTTTTTCCTAGAGGCTGACAAAATTTTGTTGTATGTATATTATGGTAATTCTATTAAATTTAACACTTTAATTATTCTGATTTTAGTTTAAAGGAATGAATTCATAGAATTTTAAAAATTAAGATATAAAACCTTCAAAACTGTGTCTACTAAATTCACTATACAAAAGTCACTTATTTAAAGGAACAAAAATTGCTTTGTCCCTTTAGATAGCATTAGAAAAATGTCTCCCAATTTAAACCTAGAGTTTTCACATTTTAGAATTTAATTACATTTCTTATGAAGCTATTATTAGTATTTTTTTTAAATTAATTTTGTTAAGATTGAAATCTCAAAGCCTATAGAAATAGCTAAGCAGGCTCTCCTTTACACTGTAATTAGTGAAAACCATCCTATTTATTAGGAGCTCTGGTAGCGTAGTGCCTAAGGCACTTGACTGCTAACCAGCAGACTGGTGGTTCAAACCCACCAACCATTCCTCAAAAGGAAGGTTGGGCAATCTACTTCTGTAGTGATACTGCCTTGGAAACCCAAGGAGGGGTCGCTATGAGTTGAGTCCGACTTGATGGCACACAACAATAACAATATCCTATTTATTTGGTTTCATTAGGAAATGAGGTATCTCATGAGTGAAATTTCCTGAAAGAAGATTCAAGGAACAGCACTATTTTTTTGTATATTACTTCGAAGGAAGATTTTTAAAAATATCTGTTTCTATGCCTTTGTCTTTATTAATACTGAAATTCTACACCTCATTTAACAGTTCAGTGATGGTTCTGTTTGTTTTACGTTGTCTGCTTTTTAGTTTCTGTCGTCTTTGCTCCCGTCATTGTGCCAATATTGTGTGCCTCACCCCCTCCAAAAAACAACCAACAAACCATGAAACCCTTCCTGTGCTTTATTGCTTCTCTCCTTATTTGGATAAGACCAATGAGTCTGTGAAGAATTAAATGTTATAAGACTTTGGTGCCTAAGGCACTTGACTGCTAACCAGAAGGCTGGCAGTTCAAACCCACCAGCCACTCCTTGGAAGGAAGATGGGGCAATCTACTTAATCTGATTCTGTAGTGATACTGCCTCGGAAACCCAAGGAGGGGTCGCTATGAGTTGGGGCCAACTCAATGGCACATAACAACAACAACAATAACAACAACAAGACTTTTAATGTTATAAGGCAGACTTTGCACAAAGGTCTCTTCATGTAACTATTTTTGGATTTAGCAATAGCTTTTACACTCTTGGGAACCTTTTTGTTTTACATTTTTGGCTTTTCTCTGGAGGATTAAAGTTACTGAATGAAGGATTTTAAGGTGAAAAAGATGTTATCAGTAAACTAACAGCTGTATTAATTTATTGATGTATGCTATTTTTTATTTAAGGGTGGATATTTTAATGTGAGCCTGAATGAAGAAATTTTGAGAAGAGGCCTCGGTAAAACTGTTCTGGTTAAAGGGCTGGATTGTGACTCTAAAATGTATTGGACAATTCACAGAAATTTACTTAAAGCAGAATTAATGGCCTTAAAAAGAAGAGAAGGAATATGGAAGGAAGAATCTGAAAAAGAAACTTATGTGGAAAAACTCAAAGGCTCCTGGGGAGAAATATGGAAAAAAGACGGTTATTTTTCAAAAATTGGATCAAATTTCACCTTGAAAAAAGAAAGTTATTATGACAACCTTAGAAGGACTTACGAAACATGGAAAGAAAACATGAGTAACTACTCCTTAATACTGAAGTTCAGGGAACTTATGAGTCGTATGTATTTTCGTAGAAAAGAGTGAAATATTCCAAGAAGTCTGGAGGTGACCTACTTTGAAAAGAGCAATGTGTAAATACATGGATATTTTTCATTGAGTTGAAATAGAAGTTTCCCCAGATGATTGAACTAGTAGTCTAATAATATTTAAATACTAAAAAGATGATTATTATAAATGACATATCAGAATTAATGTAAACAAATTGTGATTAATGTAAATTTTATGTGCATTTAGTAGGAAAAATGAAAAAAAAAACTACCAGATTGAAAGTTTAAATATGTAGTATAAATGTTTGAAGAGCTTAACTATTCTGTTATTTTATTTATTTTGGGCAACTGTATTTAACTTTTTAAAATTTTTCTAGTTTTATCAACTTTGATTATTTATAATAAAGAGACTCTTTATATTTCATGTTTGAGGCCACATCTTCTCTTGCAACTGCTTCCTATCTGCTCGTGAATTTGAGGCTGTGCTTCAAGAGAAGGGCACTTAGACAATTTCTAGTAGTATAAAATGGCTCATTTCTTCCTGTTGTTGAGGGGGGGAAGCAAGCAGGGGGCACTGAAATGCTGTGTCATATGAAAGTACTGACTTAAACTAGTATCATTTATATTCCTATGATTATATATATATATATATATTCACATATGGAAGAAAAATGATAAATAATACATTTTTAGTTTATTTTTCTTACAAATAAGATGATTGAAATATAGCTTATTGTTTTAGGAATCTTTGGATTACTGGGAAAATGGAAAATACTTACTTTTAAAAACTTTATGTATTTCCTGTCACATAAATAGACATTGAGCAATTTGTTAAATGAATGAATGCTCTGATTTGCTTTTGTTTTCCAGGTTTTTGCTTCTAGTATATAAGATGGGAGCTCTGGTAGTGTAGTGCCTAAGGCACTTGACTGCTAACCAGAAGGCTGGCGGGCGGTTCAAACCCACCAGCCACTTCCAAGGGGAAGGAAGGTTGGGCAATCTACTTCTGTAGTGATACCGCCTCTGAAACCCAAGGAGGGGTTGCTATGAGTTGGGTCCGACTTGAGGGCAAATAACAACAAACATATAAGATACGATTTGCTAAATTAACTTGCTAGTTCTGTTGATTGTTTTGGAGATTTCTTGAGATTGTCTATGTAAAGAATCATATCATCAGAAAATAGGGGCAGTTTTACTTCTTCCTTTCTGATATTCTTGCCTTTCTTTTCTTGCCCTATGCAGTCTAGTTCAGTGTAAAGTTGATGTGATGACAGTAGGTATCCTAGCCTTGCTCCCTTGGGGAAAGGGTTCAGTATTTCACCATTAGGTATGATGTTAACTATGAAGAGACTCTTTGTTAGGGTGATGAATTCCTTTCTATTGCTACTTCGCTGAAGGTTTTGTTTTCCTTTTTGAATCATGAATGCTGTTGAATTTTGGCAAATGCTTTTTCCATCTCTATTGAAGTGATCTTACGATTTCCCCCCTTTATTCTGTTAATAATGGTCAATCACATTAATTGATATTTGATTGTTAAACTAATCTTTATTTTTATTTTTATTGTGATCTGGGTAGATGTATACAGAGCAAATTCATTTTCCACACAGCAGTTCATACACATTTTGTCTCACAGCATTGACTGCAATTCCCCACAATGTAACAGTTTTCTTTCCACTTCCTCCCCATAGTTAACCTCTTCCCTGTGTCCTTGCCTCCCATGTCCTCCACCCGCACCCCTCCCCAGCTGTCTCCCTGTACAAACTACCTTTCTGTTCTCCCAAGATTGATCGCTCTAAGGAGTGCATCTACCTGATGTAAATGTTTACCCCATATGTCTTTCTATTTTTTGGCTGGAAGTTCCAGACCTGAAGGGTGACTAGGGGCCATAGTCTCAGGGGTCTCACCAGGCTCTACAGACCAGCAAACCTGGTCTTTTTTTTTTTTTTTTTTTAAATGATTTTGAGTTTTGTTCCACGTTGTTCTCCCACTCTATCCAGGATCTTTGAGTGTTAAACTAATCTTGCATTGTGAGCATGAATCTCCCTTGGTCATGGTGTATTATTTTTCTGTTTATACTATTGAATTTAATTTGCCTAAAGCACTTGACTGCTAAGCAGAAGGCTGGCGGTTCAAACCCATCAGCCACTCCTCGGAAGGAAGGTTGGGCAATCCTACTTCCGTAGTGATACTGCCTCGGAAACCCAAGGAGGGGTCGCTATGAGTCAGGGCTGACTCGACAGCACATAACAACAACAACAACAACAATATTTTGTTAAGGATTTTTGTATCTGTTGTTTGTTGTTGTTGTTATGTGCCATTGGATCAGACCCGACTCATAGCAACCCCTCCTTGGGTTTCCAAGGCGGTATCACTACGGAAGTACATTGCCCCATCTTCCTTCCGAGGAGTGGCTGTAGTCATGAGGAATGTTGACTTGTGATTTTTCCTTCATTTTTTAATCATCTTTTTTTGGGGTTTTAGTGTTAGGTTTATGCTAGCCTTATAAAAGAAGTTGTCAGTATGACTGCCTTCTCTATTTTCTGAAAATGTTTGTGAAAATTAATGTTATTTCTTTTTTGAACGTTTTATAGAATTCGCCAGTGATGCAATCTGGAATTTACTTTCAGCAAGGTTTTTAATGGTTTCCATTTACTTAGTAAAGACTATTCCTATTTTCTGTTTCTTCTTGTGTCACTTTTGGTGAGTTGTATTTATCAAGAATTTTGACCATTTCATCTGTATTATCACATTTGTTGACATACATACATACATTTGTTACTCATAATATTTTCTTATTATTTTTTGATGTTTATAGGGTCTGCCTTTTTTCCATTCCTATTATTGATGATTTTGTATTCTTTCTCTTTTTTTTTTTCAATCAACCAAGTTAGAAGTTTGTCAATTTATCTTTAAAAAAAAGAAACAGATTTGGCTTTTGTTTTATTTTTTTCCCTACTGTCCATCAGTTTTTTATTTTGTTGATTTCTGCTCTTAAACTTGCTGTTTTCTTCCTTTGACTTAGTTTGTGATTACTTTGCTCTACTGTTTCTAGGTTATTAATGTGGAGCATTAGGACATTGATTTTACACTTTCTTCTTTGCTAATGTAGCCATTAAAGCCATTAATTTTCTTCTAAACACTGCTTTAGCTGCATCCTATAAATTTTGGTATGTTGTGTTTTCATTATCATTCAGTTCAAAATATTTTCTTATTTTCCTTGTGATTTCATATTTGACCCATGAATTATTTAAAAGTGTATTAACTTCCAAATAGATAGTTTTTTCTTAGGTATCTTATTTATTCCTAATTTAAATGAACTGCTTTGTTTTTTAGTTCCCTGTTATGTGAGGTAGTAAATGTCTTTATTTTTAAAACCGGTTTGAATTGGTTTTAAGATTTAATATAACACACATATCTGCAGCTAGATCATCCTTCCAGTACAAGCTTATTTCATATGGTCAGTAATAATCCACTAATACCCAGATCCTCTTACTTTTTGAATGTTTCTCTCAAACAAATTTAATTCTTCTGACTTCATTTCTAAAAGATTAATTTTTGTTTGTTTGTTATTTGTGTTTTAAATTCATATTTCTTTTTTTAGGTTTTATTTAGTTTATTTTCAAATCATACTTTTTATATATGAAATGTTAACCAAAGTACCAGCCTTATTTATTACAATAAATGGTAAGCAAAACTTGGGAGAAGAGTGAAGACTATGCATATAAATATGACCAAAAAATAAAACAAACAAAAAAACAACAACCAAACACACTGCCATTGAGTCAATCCTGACTCATAGTGACCCCTATTGGGTTTCCAAGGCCGTAGATCTTTATGGAAGTAGATTGCACTACTATCTTCCTTCTCTGGAGTGGATGGTGAGTTTGAACCAACAACCTCTGGTTAGCAGTCAAATGCCTTAGGCACTGCACAACCAGAGCACCTTTTATGAATATGACCAGTACTGCTAAATATGGCTGCTAAGTATTTCACATTCCAGTAATATCCAGAGAGGAAAATGTCTCCTTAAATTTTATATTCTGTTTGTCATTCTGATATTTCTATTGATTCCATCCATGAGGCAGATGTCCAAATCCTGGCTTTTTTCTGGCTCATTTGGCCATAGTTATTGTTCCATGAGGGCTCTTTAGGGGCTTCCCGTCATAGTCCCTTGGCTTTGGAAATCCTTACCTCTTTCTCTCCCTACCTCCTTAAATTCTAAGGCAGTCTAGTCCACTGCCTCTTGTTGCTAGATCCCCACCATCTAGGATAACAAGCATACACAAGTTTGCTTGTGGAGAGGGATTAGATTTAATTACTCCACTTAATCACGGAAGAAAGAGTATTAGCAAGTCTGCTTAAGTCCTGCCTCTTTCCATTGTGCCCGTTCAACTTACAGGAAACTCATGGTCTTCAACTAAGTGATGATAATGTAGGCTGTTCTCCAGACACTTTGTTTTTGCTGTTGCTATCATGCCCCTTTCTCCTTGTTATAGGAAAATGAGGTCCAGTCACTTAGTAAATTTCAGAAAAGAGGCAATCACTATTTCTCAACTTGATGGAGGCAGGATGTATGGCCCCTCAGTCTTGTAGAAAAGGGAGTGAAGGGCTAACGTCAAATATTCTTTCTTCCCCATGCGAAGGAGAAAGGAAAGGAATGATTGTTGCTTCACAAACTTTTAACTTTCTGACTCCCACTTACTCCCACTCCTCTTACATCTCTTGCTCATAAAACTTTCAAACTCAGCTTGACCTTTCCCACCACTGGGAAAGCTTGGGGAGTCTCCTGCCAGAAATACCATCTTTTAAAAATATGGCTCTAAAGAAAACTAGGGGCATGGATTCCAACAGTGATGCTATCTCTGTTGCAGACAGAGGGTGATGCTATCACCTTCTTTCTAGTAACTCCCTGAGTTTAGTAAAGATCCCCCCCTCACCTCATATCAAACTGGTACACTTGCAAAACTTGCTTTAGGAGAATTAACTGTATCTGGAGTTTTATCCTCTTCTGAATTTCTCCAACATTATTTGGTTCCT